CTGGGTAAAAGTTAGGCCTTTCATTTTTTTCAAGTTACTGAAGCTATAATCTTTGTTTTTCCCATTTTGTTCCCCTCCTTTTAATTTGAAATTTTTGAACCCACAGAAAAGCTAGAAGAAAGCCTGAAGAACACTAACATACCCAATTCACCAATAGGACATTCTCTTACATAACCATAATGCCATTCATACACCCAAGACACTTAACACTGAGGCACTAGTGTTATCTAATAGAAATTCCACGTTTAAATTTCCCCAATTGTACCAGTAATCTTTCATGATATGGACAATTTTGAAGAGCCAAGGGTACTGCTTTGTAAAATGTCCCAGTAATCTGAGTTTGATTGTTTCCTTGTGATTAGATTCAAGCTACACATTTTTCCTAAAAACGATACACAGGTGATTGTGTATACGTCCATTGCATCTTATCAGGAAGCCGTGAGGTCAGTTTGTCCTCAGTTTGGTGTTGGTGATGTAAAGTTTGACCACTTGGTTAAAATGGCGATTTAACCTTTACTTTGGTTAAGTTATTTTCCATTGTAAAGGTATCTGCTGTGCTTTAATCAGTTGCTGCATTGAGGTTAGAAGAGTATTAATTTTCTAATTTTTTCATTCCTTCTGTATATATCAGATGGAATCCTCAGTATGGAACCCAGGTGTTTTTTAAAAATTTTATTGAAATATATCTGATTTACAATGTTATGTTAATTTCTGCTATATAGCAAAGTGATTCAGTTTTATATATATATATTTTTTCCATTATAGTTTATCAGAGGATATTGAATATAGTTCCCTGTGCTATACAGTAGGGCCTTGTTATTTGCACATACAGTATATAATAGTTTACATCTGCTAATTCCCAAGCTTCCAAATCTTTCCCTCCTCCATCCCCTCCTTGACAATTACAAGTCTGTTCTTTATGTCTTTGTGTCTATTTCTGTTTCATAGATATATTCACTTGTATTTGAGATTTCACATATAAGCGACATCATATGGTATTTGTCTTTCTCTTTCCCACTTACTTCACTTAGTATAATAATCTCTAGGTCCACACATGTTGCTGCAAATGGCATTACTTCATTCTTCTTTATAGCTGAGTAATATTCCATTGTATATGTGTACCACGTCTTCTTTATCCATTCATCTGTCATTATTTGTTTCCAAGCCTTGGCTATTGTAAATAGTGCTGCTATGCCCATAGTGGTGCATGTGCCTTTTCAAATTATAGTTTATTCTGAATATAAGGCCAGGAATGGGATTACTGGATCATACGACAGCTCTATTTTTAGTCTTTTGGAGGAACCTCCATACTGTTTTCCATAGTAGCTGCACTAATTCACATTCCTACCAACAGCGAAAGAAGGTGGAACCCAGGTCTTTCTGATGCTAAAGGCCATGCTATTTCTGCTATCAGAGGTACCTCTCAGATGTGTTAAAAAATGAAGCTGGTCACCTGAAGCTGTAAAGGTCCGTCTAGTCAAGGCTATGGTTTTTCCAGTGGTCATGTATGGATGTGAGAGTTAGACTATAAAGAAAGCTGAGCGCCGAAGAATTGATGCTTTTGAACTGTGGTGTTGGAGAAGACTCTTGAGAGTCCCTTGGACTGCAAAGAGATCCAACCAGTCCATCCTAAAGGAGATCAATCCTGGGTGTTCATTGGTGGGACTGATGTTGAAGCTGAAACTCCAATATTTTGGCCACCTGATGCAAAGATTTGACTCATTTGAGAACACCCCGATGCTGGGGAAAATTGAGGGCAGGAGGAGAAGGGGATGACAGAGGATGAGATGGTTGGATGGCATCACTGACTCAATGGACATGGGTTTGGGTGAACTCCGGGAGTTACTGATGGACAGGGAGGCCTGGCGTGCTGTGGTTCATGGGGTTGCAAAGAGTTGGACATAACTGCACGACTGAACTGAACTGAACTGAACCTGAAGCTGCTGGGGAAATAAAACATTTTCTCTCCATCTCTTGTTTGGAGCTCCATTTTCTTTCATCTTGGCAAAATGGACCCCTTCTGCCGCTTTGAAATATACTTTAAAAAAAATTCATGACTTGAACACACACAAAGCTATTATTTCTCATATGTGAAGGAATGTACCTAGAGAGGTGGAATATGTCCAAATTATCCTCTCTTTCTCAGCACCACTGATATTATCCCATCTCTTTAGGGTTCCAGGTTTTATATTTCCTTTCCTTTCTTTCTCCTTTTTTTTTTTTTTTTGGCAGGGAGTGGATGGGTGAGAGCTGGAATCAAAACATCAATTCGTTTAGGAGTTTTTATTTTTTTAGCAGCAAAATTGGATTGAAGAGTTTGGTGGAATATTTATCATTCTTCCCCGAGCCACAACAGTGAAGGGGAAGGAAGGCTCAGCAAAGCAGCCTCCAAAGACCTTGACAAACATCATCTCCACCAGGGACTACAGACCCGCCTTGTAGTAAGTTATTGCCAGACAGAAGGGAAGGGCCCTGGAGGGGCAGCGGCCCTGTGAGCCTCGCTGGCTGCCAGACCCTGGGAACAGGAGATATGGCCAGTCTGAGAGGAAGCTCGGGCCAGGAGCAGAATTACACTTCTCTTCTTTCCCGATAGCTGCCATCCCTCTACGTCTTCTTGCTTTCACGAAATCAGTGTGGAAAGATTTCCTCGATCAGGAAAATCACACAGAGAAATCCTTAGTTCTTCTGCCCCTTCTCTTTGTTGCAGAAAGTGGTGACGACTTTTCTAATCACTAATAAGTTCAGGGTTACAGGGCACAATGGCAGAGTCAGGGTTAGCCTGTCAGCGTCACACACCCTGAAAAAGCCCCCCTACCCCCAGACTGAAACAAAAACTATTCCTTTTGTTTGCCATCTTTGTACTGTTTAACATGAGTGTTTCAACAGTCTTTATTTTCCAAACATGCAAACGGGAGAGAGTGGTCTGACCCACAGTACATTGACATACCATGTAGCTATAACCTTGAGATAAAAAGTAAAGGAAAAAGTCAAAACAATTCAAACCAAACAAATTTTTCTTCAGTCCAAACCCCTTGCCTCTGTAACAGGGGAACATGCTGACATTAGCACGCACTGGCTGTGGCAAGGAGGCAGACCCGTGGGACCCCAATTGCATAGCTGGGAAGTCGAATGTGTTCATTAATTAATTTAACAAGTGTGTCCTAAGTATCTACCCTGTGCTAGACATGATGCTAGGTGTTGGCAATATCTTATACACCAAGGGGATTTATAAGACTTACAAGGCCTCTGATCACATGGAACTTACCTAGTGGCATTGGTGGGGGGTTGGGGATTAGAGACTACACTCAGAGTGTTGAGAGGAGATGGAAAATAACTGCTATAGTGGAAAGTCTGAGCTGGTTTTCTGAATTCTATCTGTCTAGGAATGCAACTTCTTCAAAATCTGGGTCACACAGTGGGATGGAGATTAAGACAGAAAAAGGGAGAGAATCAGAGAGAAGCTTCTCTCCTCGGCTGTTCCCCCGAGCATCCTTTGGGAGCTTTTCCAAGCTATCAGGAAGGCTCAAATATTGTGTCTGTAAGATGACAGATAAGAGAAACAATGAAAACTATGCCTTTGTCCCTTACTTCTGAAAGAACTCCAAAGATGGAACATTCTGACGAAATAACAGGCATCTTCTCAAGCATCTTTGCTATTCGGAGGACAGTGCTATGGAGGAGGGCACGGCAACCCACTCCTGTATTCTTGCCTGGAGAACCCCATGGTCAGAGGAGCCTGGTGGGCTACAGTCCATGCGGTCACAGAGTCGGACGTGACTGAATGAGCGCACATGCTCAGTGCTAAGCATTTTACCTGTATTGGCTCATTTAATCCTCACAATCATCACCTAGTAAGATAAATGCTCATTTTGTTCCCATTTCCCACATGAAAAAACAGTCCTAGAAAATCTAAGCGACTTGCCCTGGCCTAAGGACGCATCCCTAGTAGAGAGTGGAACTAGGACAGGATCCTAGCTGCCTGACTCCAAAAGCCTTGTTCTAAACCACAGTCTTTCCATCAACAAAATTATTTTCCTCATTGTATTTAAGGCAAAAGAGAAAAGGTACTAACATTGCATAGGCTATTTAATCACAAATCTTCTGAAAGAGGTCTGTGTTTTCCAGATGTTATCTTGAAAGAGATGGTCAAACCTGTCCTTTGAATCAAAAGCAAATACTTTCTTACAACGCATGAGAAATTAGGAGATGAACTTTTGCGATTGCTTAAATAGCCATGAGCCCATCATCTAAATTTTGAATTATAATTCGTGAATGGAGATCAGTAATTCAACAAACTAATGAATTACTCCTCAAAGTTTATTTTATAACTGCATTCATTTCCATCTTGGCCCTTTACTTGATAATTGAATTAAAAATAAATAAACTGAGGTGAAGCTGGTTTAGTGAAAACAATGTAGAAGTCCCTAATGAAGCTTATGCCTGTTGGGGGATAAATTCATATCAAAAATTCAAAAATAATATAATAAAACTGAACTTTGAAGGGGTGGAGTGGTCTTTCTTTTGCTTTAAATCATTTAAATTAAATGTAATGAAAAGTGATCAGAGTGCTTATTTTTACTTTGTTTTGTGGGAAATTGTGCTGGGAAAGTGGATCTATTGTGCACAAAGGATGTTGGCTTTCTGCTGCAACCACCAGGCAGGTTGAGTTGAGAAACAATTAGCTCAGTCAGCAAGCCTTTGAATCTGATTAAGCCAGGAAGTGGTCACTCCCCACGACAGGGCAGAATGAAGGGAATGAAGGCGGTGGCCCAAAACAAGGAATGATCTCTCTGTCCCTGTCTGAAGTATTAGAATTTACTGTGTCAAATTTATGTCGAGGATTATTTCACTCCATTTTGTTATTATTTCACTAAAAACAAATATAATCTTGTTTCCAAGTGGATCAACAGTCCACATGTGTCATGGCTACTGTCTCTTAGAAACTTCTGTTTATCGAGCCCTGACATACTCTCATGTTTTGGTAACGAGACGTCTTTGAGACCCAGAACCCAAGTCACAGAGGAAAATGCAGCATTTATACCAGTCTGCTGGCTGGATTCTCATCACTCTGGGGGTTCTCAGTGTATTCTCTGGAGTTCTTGCTTTCTTCCCAGTCTTTTCCTGCAAGTTTTGGTTCACAGGATGGAGTGTCTGGATTGCTTGTCCCATCTGGAATGGAGTTTTGGTAGGAAAATATTCAATATTAATGTTTTTATTACATATGTTGAGAGAATAAAGGAAAGAGAGACGAGAATGATACGTCTTTTAAAGTTTTTCAACAACATGAAGACATAAAAATTCTACAGAAAATCAGATTGTACCTTAGAACATTGATTTCTATTAGTTATCTTTTAAAATACACATTTTTCCTAATGTCATTTAATTATGTATACAGTATATCAGGTTTACTAGTGGTAAAGCTGCCTGTCAATGCAGGAGACGTAAGAGATGTTGGTTCAGTCTCTGGGTTGGGAAGATTCCCTGAAGGAGGGCATGGCAGCCCATTCCAGTATTCTTGCCTGGATAATCCCATGGACAGAAGAGCCTGGTGGGCTTCAGTCCGTGAGGTTGCAAAGAGTTGGACATGGCTGAAGTGACTTAGCATGCACACATACACAGTATATCAGATATACTATAATGAAATGCTATTCTCTCAAAACTTACTTTGACTCTTCTCACCTTGACATTCTGAGAAATCTATCTTTCAAAATTTGAGTTTAGAAAAAAAATACAAACCATGAAAAATAATTTTTAAATGAAGAACAGAGTAAAATAATTTTCAGGCAAATACTTTTACTAGAAACACTAAGGTGTGTTTATGTGACCAAGAAGTTTGCAAGCCCAAAATCTTAGTTCTCCCATCATTTTCTGTGAACAAAACTGTTTGCACTGAAAATAACTGAAGAAGTTGGGTGATGGGCTTCACTAGCTTCATATGTTGCCAAACCTGCATGTGCCAGATACATGTGGATACTAAGTAACTGCTCAATGTCTGCCTGTTAAATGGTCTCACAGATGAACAATGATACCGGTACCTCAGCTTCCTGGGTCAAAGAAACAAACACAGGTAGCTTTGAAGTAGGTGGCCACCATGGTGGCATGATTGAAGAGGAGTTACAGAGGCCTGAACATTCAACAAATCCTTCTCTCATTGTTTCCCGGGATGCCTGATATTCATTATTGGAAACTAGATAATTTGATTTTGAAACTTGTTGATCTTATGGGGTTTTCTCTTACAATATAGCCACTGTTAAGAGGGGCAATATCTTGTCCTTTTTCTAAGATTTTTTTCATGTGGACCATTTTTAAAGTCTTTATTGAATTTGTTACAATATTTCTTTTGTTTTATGTTTTTATTTCCTTGTTTTTGTCTTTTTTGGCTGTGAGGCATGTGGGATCTTAGTTCCCTGACCAGGAATTGAACCCTCACCCCTCTGCACTGTAAGGGGAAGTCTTAAGGGAATTCCCTCAGGTCTTTTTAAAAAATCAAACTTTAATGGAGATGCATTTAAAAGCAAATCCCTAGGAAATATCATTTTTACTTATTTATTAAATAAATATATATTGATAGCCTACTACAAACTTGAGTTACAATAGAAAGTAAAATAAAGTCTTGCTATTAAAGGCACTCAGCCTAGGAGGGTTTAATGATGGTGTGCAGATGGAGGAACACTGGATGGGAGGAGCGTGGAACTGAATGTGGAAACCACTTGATGGCATTTTTCTTTTCTTTATTTAACACATTTTTTACAACCACCATCCAAGTGTTGAACTTTTCCTCTTTCCCCCAACCCCTACCACAAACCACACAGTCATTCAAGAAAATGTTTATTAAACATCTACTAGAATGCAGAGATGACAGTTATACAAAGGACTACCAACTTTTTTGTTAGTGACCCAGAGTAAGAAAAATATGTTACATCAAGACCTGAAATGTACATAAACAAATCTTTCAAGGGAAAAAGATAGATATAGAAACATACATATAAGTAGATTTATAGAACAAAAGATTCACAAAAAAATACCTTAGCTTCTGTATGAAGCAAATTCTTATATTTTCTATTCAATTTTAAAAAGAAAATTCTGACTTTACAACTAATGCAGAGTTTAACAAAACCATTATTATAGCTCAACCCTGTTTCCCTTTCTTATAAATCTTTGCTTATCCCAGCTGGGTCTATCATAATATAGTCAACAGATATTGGTGATTTGACTTAGTTCACAAATTATTGAATATAAACTTTCTACACCAAATATCTGTTTTACTAATCATGCTTCATTTAGCTAATCAGGCCCAGAGAAATGATATGGTAGCCCAGAATTAGTCAGTGGCTTCTTTATTTTGAGAGTGACAGCATAGGGAAGTAAAGTCAGAGAGTTAGGATTTGGGAAGGTGGGCCTTGTTCAAGGCCTGACTTTGACATTCTTGGTATGTAGTCAAGAGCAGGGCACTCATTCAGCTGGTTCTTCATTGCCTTTACCTATAGACCATGGAATTTCACAGGTAGAGAGCCCATATGAAACTGTCTAACCTAAGAGGTTCAGAGAGAATGAACACAATTTGAACAAAGACTTCATAATAAAGAGTTTTGCCAATTTCAAAGCCCTACAAATGCTAGTTAATACTATGCATTTGATTTATGCCCCACTCTCTGTCTAAGCCCTTTGTTCCTAATCCCTTGCACCTGCCTCGCTCTCCCACTCTGTTCCCTGATGATATGCTGAGTTCTCTATCATGTTACCTCCTGGACCTCACCTCCTATCACTCTTCTTTTAGGTCATTTCTTTTCCATCACATTCCAAGGTGTGTCTGCCTCAGGGCCTTTGCACTGCCAGTTCTCTGTCTGAAGCCTTTTCTCACATAGCTTATTCCCTAACTTCCTTCAGTTCTTGGGTCAAATGTCACTTTCTCACAGATGCCCTCCCTCATTGCTGTATTTAAAATTATATACCTCCCCCACATTAGTATTCTCAGTCTCTCATCATTGTTCTATTTTTCACCCATAGCCCTTAACACCATCTAATATACAAAGTAATTGTCTTATTTATTGTCACCCTTCTCCCCAAATGTACATTGTACAAAGGCAGGATTTTTTTTCTATTTTGTTCACTGCTATATGTCCAACACTTAAAACAGAGTGAGTAAATATCATGCTAGATATTCAGTAAATATTGCCTGATATTTGCCAGTGTTTGCCTGATATTTGCCTGAATTTGCCTGATACTGTCAGTGTTAAATGAGTGGTGAATCCCATGCTCTCCATTTTGATAGAACAAAACTCCTTATACAGTTGAACTCTGATTAGATTGCAAAGAATAAAGGTCCAGCTGATATTTATACTGAAGCAGGAAAAATACCCTCATGAGAAGGAAAGCAATAAGAAAGCTTACTCTTTCAATAATATCTAAATTTGGAACAGTCTGATTTTTTTTTTCCTAGTGAGTTTTCATAGTAAACCACAGCTCTGTCTGATCAGGGTCAATCTCAAAAGGTCTCTGACTCATCCTGCAGCCATCTCTGCCAATCACTTCTCAACTTGTGTGTAAAATTTATCTTCCTTTGGTAGAAAGATGATTTTTACACTTCAATAATATTTTCTTTTGAAAATGACTCCATATCTCTTTTGAGATTAGAAGAGAGAAATTTTTAGAAGTCATCTATACTTTGTATTTGTTTGGTGACTTTCATTCAAGGCTTTTTATTCTTCACAAATATTCATCTTCAGACTCTCACCTCAATTAGGACAGCAACGCGATAGGCAGTTTTCCTAGGATTTCTGATGTAGGTTATTTAAAGATATCAGCTGCTAGAAGTGTGCAGCAAGGAGATCATAGTGCCTTAAGGACTGAGCTCCACTTTAATCCTGGAAAACCTGGCCTGCAGATCAAATTCTGATGAAGAGACTGAAGTGCAGTGAATTTAAAAACAGGACCTAAAGCCTGCAGGATCCAGTGACTTGGCCAACAGTGAGCAGCAGTGCTGCACCCACAGTCCTGCTTGGAGATAGGAACTTTGGAGAAAAGCGGGGCTAGACTCATTCATGCAATCTTCAGTTTCCTCATCCATTAGAGAAGAGGCTTGATGGCACCAAATGCTCAAGACTCTTATAGCGTCAGCAGTCCTGTGATTTCCAACCAGGCAATGGTCAGTTTTCTACTTAGCTATCCTAAACTTTTTAAAGCTTAATTTGTCCAAAAATGAAATCATCTTACCGCCAAAAGCACTTTTTTTTTCTTCTGACTTGGCAGTCTTTGAACTCAATTTAAACCCTCAAATGAATTTTGACTCAATCCTTTCCTCTAGTGTTTCTCAAACTGAAATGTGCATACGAACCAACTAGCACACTTGTGGCCAGTGTGCACATACATGCTCAGTTGTGTCCACCTCTCGGCAGCTCCATGGACAGAGCAATGCCTGGCTCCTCCATCCATGGGATTCTCAAAGCAAGAATACTGGAGTGGGTTGCCATTTCCTTATCCAGTGGATCTTCCTGAGCCAGGGATTGAACTCGTGTCTCCTGCATCGGAGGGCAATTTCTTTACCACTGAGCCACCTGGGAAGCCAAATCAGCTAGAGATTTTGTTTAAAATCTTGGCTCTGATTCTATGAATCTAAAGGACAGTTGAGATTCTGCATGTCTGACAAGTTACCAAGAGATGAGATAATACTGGTCTTTAAGACTTAGGGCAGCAACAGACAAATCCAGCCCATTTCAGCCCCACTTCTGCCCCACCACGTCCAATCTACTGCCAAGTAACTTGTATTTTTCCCACGAGGCAAAATCTCTAGGTTCTTTTCCTTTTTCGCTCTCTCTGCGCACCCCTGCCTACCTCCTTACCACTTCCCACCCCACTCAGGTTTTATGCCTTGAAACTTTGATAGCTAAACTGTGAGAATCTGTGTGTTAGTGGATTATAAAATCAAGTTGTGGGGTAGTGAGTATTTAAACATATAGAATAAAATCAAACAGAAAAGAGTTATATCATATAATAAAGTTACGTGTTATCATGTAAAAATATTTATAACTTGGCCATGACACAAAATGTGTATCTCATTATGGGTAGAGGTTTAAAGAAAAAGCTTGAAGAGCAGGATCTTATAGAGATCTCTAGGGCTTACTCCATACCTATCCAGCATGCAACAAACAGCTTATCTCTCCAAACCTCTGCTGTGTCCATCTAGTCCTGTCTTTGAAAATCTTCAGTGTTGCTTCATCATCCAAAGTTCAGATTTGTTAGCCTGGACTTTGAGGCCCTCCTCTACCTGGCCTCTTGCGGCTTTCGAGCCTGAAATCCTACTCCTCTCTGCCAGGGACCAACCCTCTGACGGTCCGGGGTCCCCTCACCTTTTATCCCCCAAGCACGCCTGCCATGTTCTCCCTTGTGTATATACAGTCCCAGCTGCCTGGACTGCCCCTTCCTCTGTCTCTCCCACTGAAATCACAACCATCCTTCAAGCAATCGCCTCCATCAGCGATTGTCCCCCGGAAGTGGTATCTTGTCACCGACCTCTTCTCACACAGAAAGCACTCACTCTTCCTGCCTAATTTTGTGGACATTCTTATGTCCTTCCTTTCACATCCAAAGTTCAGATTTGTTAGCCTGGACTTTGAGGCCCTCCTCTACCTGGCCTCTTGCGGCTTTCGAGCCTGATTTCCTACTCCTCTCTGCCAGGGACCAACCCTCTGACGGTCCGGGGTCCCCTCACCTTTTATCCCCCAAGCACGCCTGCCATGTTCTCGCTGTGTATATGCGGTCCCAGCTGCCTGGACTGCCCTTTCCTCTGTCTCTCCCACTGAAATCACAACCATCCTTCAAGCAATCGCCTCCATCAGCGATTGTTCCCCGGAAGTGGTATCTTGTCACCGACCTCTTCTCACACAGAAAGCACTCACTCTTCCTGCCTAATTTTGTGGACATTCTTATGTCCTTCCTTTCACATCTGGATGTTAATTCCTTTGAGAGTTGGAGCCATGGTTTGTATAATTATTGCTTGGTGAGCTTGCTTTTCTTATTTAGCTTCTCTGTGCCTCAGTTAAAAACTAGAAAATGATTTACCTCCTAGGGTCATTCATTGTGAGGATTAAATGAATAACACTTGTAAAGTATTTGGTAGAGTGCCTGGTATCCAGTAAATGCACAATAAATTCTCAATGTTATTATCGTTATTCCATCAGCATAGTGCCTATCATGAACCAGTACCCCCAAAATAGATGTCTGTAAGTGAACAAATTAACCCATATTATAAGGATTCCTCTAAAAGTTTCTATTTCTGCTGTGAGGCTCTCTGCTTCCTTCAATTCATCTGCTTCTGGGAACTGCATCCTCACTGGGGCCATTTAAAGATTTAGTGGGAAGGTTCACAATTAGCAGGCAGAATGTGAGCAGCAACTTTTGCCAGACCCAAGTAATGTCCCTCAAGCTGCTCCCAGAGAACAAGTCCACAGCCAGACAAGAAGGCAGAGGGGGCAGGGCTGGGTCACCCTCTGCCCGCACACCCTCCCCAACCATAGCCTCCCCTCTCCCTTCCTCACAAGCTGACTGCTCCTCTCTGCCCAGCTCTTCACCTCTCAGAACTTCACCATTTCCTTTTCCCAATTGTCTTCTCTTCCCTATTTGCAAATCTCTCCTTTTAAAATTCTTTTCCTTTTCCCTATCTAAAAATATATATATATTTTTTTAATGAGAGGAGGCAAGGGGAAATCCCGTGACTCTCGGGGGAACACTCTCACTCCATGTCCCACCCACAGCCAGGCACCAAGAGAGTTGGGTGTGCTTGCGTCCTGAGTCACCATCCTCAGGGTGGATTGAACAAGTTACTGAATGGCATTCATACACCAACCTCCCCCGTGAAAGATCTTTTTCAAAGTTTTGTGTAAACAAAGCAAAATTCAAGCTGGCAGCTACAACAGAAATAACAGGCTGCTGCGATTCTGCAGGATTTTTCAACTTCTGAAAGGAAAGAAACAGTTTGTGCCAACGTAGCTAAGGCCATCTAGAATGTAAGCATCTGATAATGTCAGTTATCTACTGGGACTTCAATCAGGAGAGGTGTCTCCTTTGCTTTTTATTTCGTTTGCTTTAGAGTTTCTTCTGCGTGGAGGAGTGACGTGTCAGTTGAGCGCTTTGCCTCTGAAAGCAGAGATTGGCCCCAGGCTTAGCATCAGTGCTACGGTTGCTCTTAATAATTCTCCTGTTTTGTTGTACTATTTATGCTGGCTCAACCTCCATAGGGTCGCTTGGAAACTTTCCTCTTGCAGAATCAAGCCCAACCTCGTTTGACTACAGATGGTTCTGTTTTTATCCATGGGAGTTTAATGGGATGGTGATGCCAAATCTGGAATTTCAGGCTTAGCTACAATGAGAAGTTTTGTGTGAGTGTATGTATGTGTGCTTCCCCCCTCACTCTCAAATTCTCTAAATCCAATATTCAAAATAGAATATGCTAGGAAAATGAAAAACTGCTTCTCAAAACAATAAATATACCAGACCTGGAGCTACAAAAAGTAACATCCCACAAAACCATTTTGGTAAAAACTCTGATTTTTTTTTTCTCCTTAAATTTGTTGATACTATACACACAGTGAAGTTTATTTCTCTGTCAAAACCCTAAATTGTAACTATTTTTAGTCCTGTCCTCATTCTATATCTTATTTCAGGCACATCTCTTTCTGGTTTTCTCTCTCAACCCCAAAACATTCCTTGCACAGGGACAAATTATTTATGGGTTGGGAATAAGCAATTTCTGGATTCAGTGGCCACAAAGGTCTCCATCAGACCTAGTGCCAAATCGAAGATGAGTCCAGAATTTTTCCCCACTATCTGTTACTCAATTCTGATGACACCATTCCCTCCTTTGTTGAACTATTTTCATTCTGCATTTGGGAACTTTTTCTTCAACAGAGACTGTTAAAAAAAATCTCTTAAAAGTTGGACACCACTGCCCCTAGAACCATAAATGCCCCATCATGCACTAATTTTTATTACTTGAAAAATAGAGATCATGGATTTGTATCCCACCAGCAGGGTAAGCCTGCAAAATCTCTGAAGAAAGCAAACAGTAAAAGATATGCTGCTACTGGGAGGGTTTGTCCGGGTGGGTGTGGGTAGGTTCGAGGGTGGGGTGGGGAGGAGGTTTTGTGACACATTTCCATTCCAGTTCCTCCTGTTTGTAATTTTAGCAATTTGTGAGAGAGATGAACAATAGACAGTTAACCAAAATAAAACATATGGCAAGGGTTATAAAGTCAAGCTTTTATTGCAGTGACATCTTACAGTAGTAAAGGTTATAATTGTGATGGCAATGGCAAGATAGAAAATTTAAAAATGAGCCTGTGTGAATTGTGTCTTTGTGACACTGATGGCTTCTTTTCCTCATTGGCATCACTGATGAGGAGGCAATCAAAGCCATAAACCCATTTAGCTATCTGCAATCCTTCCAGTTCATGATAAAGTTGTCAAACTGTGAAGCAGATTGAACTCTTTCCAGAGGTACCTTCTCTCATGGATGTTGTTTTACCATGTTCCTTTTCCAGGCCATCACAACTGGTATCCTCCTACTGTTGGCTCACAAAGAGTGGACACAGAGATACCTGGTAAATATATAGATAGATGTCAAGTAAAGTGGTAGAGTAAGTTTGAAGGTTAAATCTCTACTAGTTCAGGATAGAACACAAAGAATGTGATTTCTGATTAAAACTGAATTTTATCTAATTTATGCCTTATTATGATGCATNTGTCAAGTAAAGTGGTAGAGTAAGTTTGAAGGTTAAATCTCTACTAGTTCAGGATAGAACACAAAGAATGTGATTTCTGATTAAAACTGAATTTTGTCTAATTTATGCCTTATTATGATGCATTTCAATAAAACACTGTTTTAAATGACTAATTTTTATCTGATACCTGCTCCAAGCATTTTCTACAAGTTACTGTGATTATGGCATTTAAGTATTGCATTAATAGTTTGGGAAGAACAGAACCTGTGTTAGTCTTCATGAATTACATTTTGCAAAAATGGATCTATAGTCTTGTCTGTTTTAATGATTTATTTTCAAGTTCTCAATTCCTGTTTGGGATCTCTTTCCAATCTCTCTACTGCCTCTCCCATAAAAAGGATACAAAGTCTATTTCTTGCATTTCAACAGTATAGAGTCAAGTACAGAATGACTACTTTGAGCAGATTATAGCTCCTCTTCCCATGGCCACAGCAGGGCTTCTGAAACTTTATGTGTGAGTTACCTGGGGATCTGGTTAAAATGCAGATTCTGACTCAGAAGATCTGCAAGAGACTGAGATTCTCCATTTCTAATAAGCTCCCAGAGGGTGTCAGTTCTGGACCATGGACCCCACCCTGAATAACCAAGTCCTAGAATAAGGCAGAGATTCTGTTCACTCATTTCTGTTTTTCCCACCCTAGACTGGTTCTCAACATGTGATAGGAGATAAATAAATGTTTCTTGAATGGACTTGATTTCATTTCTGCCCCAGTGGGTTGCTATGTTATTCTCCTGTATTGAAGGGTCAAGAGGAAAACAAAAGGAACTAAAGAGGCGGCTGGAACCCATTTCTCCGTCATTTCCCAGCAGAAAAGATTAATAGGCAGCCTCTCTTTTTCCCTCGTGTTGCTAAGAAGCTTCTAAAAAATCGTGCTCCCTAAGTAATAATCTGTTTCTGTTTTATTTTCAGTGGGAAGCTAGTTTCACCTGTGTGATTCTGAGCATGATGGGATGCCCACTTCATTTTACAGTAGCCTTGGTTTCTGCTCTCCTCGGCCCGTATTGCTTCTACTCACTTTCAGGGATTGCAGGGATCAGTTACCTTGGTTATGCAGTTGCTTTTCCTTTTCCGTATGCAAAATTCCCATCAGTCTGTGTGGACCCCCCACACTATGAAGAGTACCACCTGACACTGCAAGCCCTCGACCTGTGCCTGAGCTTTGCCATGTTCTGTGTGTCCCTGATGGCCTTCATCACACTTTCTGCAAGACTTATCCAGAATGGACATGTCAATGTAAGTTTCCAGAATAGGGCAGACACTTATTGCGGCATTTTAAATGCTAACATGGAAAGTTTGGTATATTAATACTTGATCTCTCTCTCTTACTTACCTGTGTATCTTGTATAACCAAAATTCTCCCCCTCTTTCTACTTCTACCCCAGCCAAGAGACTGATTTACATCAACATCAGATTCGGCTTTCTTTTTCCAAAAGGGCTGATAAAAATATTAATGATACGATAATAGAAATATAAACTGAATATTTAGTATGTGTCCATTTCACAGATAGTAAATGGAGGCTAAAGCATTTACATGACTTGCCCAGCTTATCACACACCTTAGTGGATAGTAAGACCAGATTCAGACCTCAGAGCTATTTCTCTTCATTAGGCCAGATTTACCCTGGGCTCTTTCATCACCCACCCTGTATCCTCTGCTCCTCTGCCAGACCTTTAAGATGCAAGGCTTTGGCTTCCTTGAGGGTTAGAGTGGGTTGTTTGGAAGAACAGCACAAGCGACTTCTGGTTCAAAATTCCTGTGGTTGACACTTGGTCCCTCTTTTGTAGGTTGAACAGCCTATCCCTAAAGAGATATTTCCCACTAGACTCTTACACTGACCTTATGATTCAAGTTAGGATTATATCAGGGTCAAGTAAACTTGGATTATGTTAGCCAATTATTTTCCAGTTTCATCCTATCAACACCAACCAGTAAAGCTGGAAGACAAGAATTTGGCACTCTTGATGCCTTTTGTGGTCAGTCTTGTCCTCTTCAACTTCTTCATAAATCTGCAAAGGAAATCCTGTACATTCTTAGGAACAGAGTTGATTTTACAAGCAACTCTCTGAGAAACAAGGCAAGCAGACCAAAATCACCACCCCCACTGTACTGCCGGAGAAGTTTAGTATTTGAGATCCCTCCCTTGTGGTGAATGACCTAACTTTCTAGAGTCATTTGTTAAAAGGAACATATGCCTAGGAGAACCACCCATTAAAGAGTTGACAGTCATAACCCCTTCACATGGGTGGCTAATCAGACATCTGGCTATCATTTTAGGCATAACCCCCACAACATTGAGGTTTAACCTGGGGTGGAAGATAGGGAGAAAATAATGAAAAAAATATATGCAGAGCTTGGTAAGCCAGCCCCATAGAAACTCAACAGTGAGACCACCTAAAGTGCCTGGAGAGAGAGAAAATTAATTGAAAGCAGAGAAAGAGTCTGTGACTTCACAGATTTTTGCCTTTGCCCATCTTGCTCGGAACAGTTCCTAGGTGTGTGGTTTCTGCTCTGAGTTTAGGACCCAGTAGAACTGCAACATGTTACTCAAAGGGGTTCAATGGTATCAGAATCACCCAGGGTTCTTGTGAAACTAGGTTTCAAAATCCTTTCCAGGTCCTTTCACACTACATCAGAAATTCTGGGGTTGGAGGCAGGGAATGTGCATTTTTAACACATGTCCCAAGAGACTCTGATGAAAATTCTCTTCCTAGTACAAGCTTTACTTAATATCACTTCTAAACAGAATTTCAGTTATACAATTTACATAAAATGGAGTACTAGTGTGGTTGAGGGTTCTAGATAACTTTAATAAGCCTGTCTCTGGTGAATGTTCTTGGATGACTTGATGCCACTTAATCTGTAGGGGCGGAAAATCACATTTCATTAGCAAGGATGAGCGGCTGACATAATGGGATATGATGTCCTGTATTAATAAATACACCACTATTGCCCCTAGCCCAAAAGAAATATGTGCAGCCTGAACAAACCTTTGTTATCAAGCAGAAATCTCAGCTACATTAGGTACAATTTTCAGCAGTAGAATAAATGGTTTGTTTATCAAAATTCTAGAAAACAGACAACTTTTTTAGAAGGAAAGGTGGATGGATCATTTGTTGGGATACAGAATTCTACATAGTGACTCTACTTTTAATGAATCTTCATGTAGTTGTGTTGTTAGATTCCCTGCATGCTGAACTGGATAAGTAATATTTTTTAATTTTTATTTAAAACTAATAAACATTGCAAAATATGCTTCTGATTCACACTTTTTCATATAAACAGAACACTGAAAATGCTTTTAAAAGCTTCAAGTGTCTGCCTGAAAATTAAAATTCTCTTGTATAAATATAGTACATAGCAGGCAACTTGAAAGCTATGAAAAATCATAAAAAATAAAAAGAAGAAAGTGGTGGTTTGAAGGAGGATTTGGGGGAAATTATGGTTGCATTGTACAACAAAATCAAAATTTTTTCAGATCCATATGTAACAGTCAATATTATGATGAAAAATATTCCCTCCTAAGGATTTGTTTCTGTAAGTTCAAAAACATGTTTTCAAAAATGAATTAAGCACCCCCTTAGGAATCACCACATTCATTATTTCTTGCTTCCTGTGCCTTTTCAGTTCAGTAGGACTGAAGTCATCTTGTGTCCCAGTCAGCTCAGCTGCTATTAAAAAATGCCGTAGACTGGGTGGCTTAACCAACACATTTATTTCTCAGAGTTCCAGAGACTGGAAGTCAAGATCAAAGTGTTAGCATGGTTGGTTTTTGGTGAGGCCTTCTTCCTGGCTTGTGGATGACTGAGTGCTCACGTAGCTTTTCCAGGGCCCAATTCTAGAGAAGAGCAATCTTACTGTCTCCCATTTTTTACGGACATTAATCTCATCACGGGAGCTCCACACTCATGACCTCATGGAAACTTCTCCCAAATGACTTATTGCAAATTACCATCACAGTGTAGAGATTAGGGTCTCAACATATGGATTGGGGAGGGGAGAGACATAAAGAGTTGGTAACATCTTACTGAAGGTCACACAGTGCTGGTGTATGAGCATGCAGTCAATTGGTACCCAACTAAAATCAGAGGAAGAGATGCTTGAAAGAGGTGTGAAGGGTTTGATGATTTTGACAAACACGAAAGCATGGTGTGAGTGCTACAGACTAAATATTCGTGCATGTGTATGCATGCTAAGCCACTTCGGTCATGTCTGACTCTTGTGACTGTGGACTCTAGCCTGCCAAGCTCCTCTGTCCGAGGAGTTCTCCAGGCAAGAATACTGGAGTGGGTTGCCATTTCCTTCTCCAATGTTATCACCCCCAAATTCTAAGCCCTAACCCCTACTGTGATGGTATTAAGAGGTGTGGGTCTTTGAGCAGTAATTAGATTTGGATGAGGTCATGACGGTCATCAGAGACTCTGTGATGGGGTTAGTGCCTTATAAGAAAATGAAAAGACCAGTCCTTTTTCTCTCTTCTCCAAAACAGTATACAGCAAGAAGGGGACCATCTACAAACTAGGAAGTGGGCTCCCACCAGACACTGAATCTGTTGACACCTTGATCTTGGAAGTCCAGCTGCCAAAACTGTAACAAATATCTGTGGCTTAAGCCATCCATTATCTGGTTGTATGTTATAGCAGTCCAGGCTGACCAAGACAGTGAGTTCTTCCAAATTTGTAGGGCCTCGTGGGAAGGGGTGGAGCTGGGAAAAGACTGAGAGTCCCCTGCTTGCGTGGCTCCATACAATACACTGAAGTGATCCTGTGGGCTTAGCATTCAATGCATGGGGCAAATGAGCACCACATAAAATTTAAGTTGAAAAACTAACATGCAAAACAACCATAGCTGAAATTGTCTACATTCTTGGTTCAGTAAGTAAGAAAGTGATGAGAAAGGAAAGAATTGGGATGCCAGACACACTGCAGCTGTCCCCTGCAGCTACTCTGCCCCTCCTCCATGGAATGGAATGGCTTCATTTGTTTTCCTTTCATTATTCATTGTTATGTTTGGGGTTGTTTTTTTTAATGAAAGGGGGAAAGAAAATATTTTCCCCTTATCATGTGATATGGTTTTTTTTTTTCAATGAATTGAGAAATATTTGCCATAAAAGGTGTAGGTAAACCCTTTAAATGCAATTTAAAACATGGGGACAGATTATAAGTGGATGACTTTCCTTTCTTCAAACTAAAGGCAGATTAGCAGCAATATACTGGTTCCTAATCTTCCAGCAAACCTACTCTGCATCCTTAGCAATAGAAACATGCTTTTTTTTTTTCATTTATTTTTATTAGTTGGAGGCTAATTACTTCACAACATTGCAGTGGTTTTTGTCATACATTGACATGAATCAGCCATGGAGTTACATGTATTCCCCATCCCGATCCCCCCTCCCACCTCCCTCTCCACCCGAATCCTCTAGGTCTTCCCAGTGCACCAGGCCCGAGCACTTGTCTTATGCATCCCACCTGAAACAAGTTCATCTATGACTCTATTCTAAAGGTCTGAGGTTCCATGCTGGGCTATATAACAAGGTCTTTCTGGTGCCTCTGGGAACTAATCCCTTTGGGTAGATCCAGTAAAACTGAAGCAGGATCGTACAACTGTAAGAATGCACTGTATTTCTTCCTCATAAATTCTATCGTGTGGTCTTCTCAAATTGGCCAGTAGAAAAATCAGAATCTAGAAAAAGAATCACAACTCAGGGCATCACTATTCCTTTTATCTCATAATTTTGTTTGGAATAATAATAGTAGTTACATAAAACTGGGGAATAGAAGAATAACTGTAGCTGCTATTTATGGGGCAGTTACTGTTCATCAGGCACTTTGCTTACTGTATTCCTCACAACACTCCAAAGCTCACTGAACTCATTTCACAGACGAGGATGTCCAAGTATTCATGTCAGATCAGGGTTCTCTTCCAGGGCTTGCAGGGCCTGGAGGCCAGGCTCCTTGCTACTGTATCACACCTCTTAGGTAGTGTATCTCCAGTTTTACATACTCCAAGTGACTTGGCATAATCATGCTTCTCATGGACAATTTTTCTTATGTTACCCATAGACAAAAATTAACTCATATTTTAGAAATGGAAGTATTTTTCCCAGGATATTTTCTTTCTATTTAATCAGTGGGACCATACCAAGGGTGATAGCAACTTACTAAGAGAGGAAATGAGACTAAAGTGTCCATTGTAATGTATTAAAATAAGCTTGATATTTTGTCAAAGAGGGAGCAATAGGTGGGGAGGGGTTAGCAGCCAGAGAACTGCCTTCTGTTGAATTTTACTTTACATATTGTTTTGAGTTCAACATATTTTCCTTTTAACAGTCAGTCAGTTGAAACATTTAATAAAAAATACCCTAATAGGCTTTCCCCCTTGTTACTTACTCTCAATCTAAAATATTATTTTATTGTGAATACATTTTTAACAAATTTTCAATGTCATAGTTTTCAAAATTAGAAATAGATTTAAAAGAAAGAAGAAATTTTTATTTCATAACAGGGCAGAAACTTAAGTAGAAAGCAGAAGCCTCCATTCCCTATAATCATGTAAATTCAGTTTTCAACAAAGAAAACTCAATTTCTGCTAATGAATATTTCAGAATGACTGTAATGGTGCTAATCTATGAATACAAAGCCATTTAGGATTGCAGCATTGTTGGTTGGACACTTTAAATTTTTTTAATTGGAGGGAATACTTGACAGCTATTATTGGATGCCTGAGACCCCTCTTCAAATGAAAGAAGGGAGAGAAAGAGAGGAAGTAATGAGGGTGAAACATAATGGAGGCTTTGGGAGGTGAGGAACCAATCCAGACATTATGACACTTCCTCTCCTGACAACTGTACCTTACCTCTCAAGTGTTTCTCTACTCTGTCCTCTTTTCTCTATGCCAACCGTGGGGACCCTGGTTTGGCTCCCGTATTCTCTCACTCAGACTTCTTCACTTCCAATCTCTTTCTTAAAAAGTATCGCCCACACAGGTTCTAGAATGAACTCTCAGCTTCAGATCTGTTTGTATCATTCCCCTGCTTTCCCCTTCATACACCTTCACATGACATCATGTGTACTCAGCTCCTCTCTGAGCACGTGAGTTCCTCCAGTTCAGGGACCAAGGTGAGCAAGAAAGGTGAGACTGGGAGTGTGAGAACCAAAAGAGGAAGAGAGAGGCAGGTTGCAACACTAAATGTCATTTTTTATATCCTCTAGCCATAGCTAACAGCTTACTTAAACCTACAGCAGGAGAATTTTAAATGTAAAGACAATTTACATGTCATGGGGAAATTTACTATGGTCATGGGATCCAAGAAGAATCTCCAGAAACAAATACAATAGAAAAGTAGATTTGAATTCCCTGTTGCACTCCATGGGGTCACGAAGAGTCGGAACCCATGCTCCCCAACCAAGGAGTGGTGGTTTACTGAAGAATTGCTTTCAATACTAGGCTACACACAGAATCTGATATATACTGTTTAAGTCAAACAGTTTGAAGGGTAATGGCTTCTTCTATCATCAACTATTTGAGTAGCCTTGAACAAATCAATATTGAACCTCTTTGAGCCTAAGTTTCCTTGTTGGTAAAATGGAGATAACACCTACCTCACATGTTGCAAATTGAAATGATCTAATTACTATTAAGAGCCTTACACCGAGCATGGTATTTGACAAGTCCTCACATGTTTGCTCTCTTCGCCTCGATTCTAATCAAATTTAAATTCTTGGCTCAGTCAAGATTTCAGAACATGCCTTTTAGCCTTCCGTAATTTTCAAAAAACCCCAAACCAGACAAAACAGCAAATGACCAAAAGAGACAATGAACCGAGAGAGTCCCCACTCCATAGACAACCCCTGCCCACAAAAGTAATGGTTCTTCCAGGCTGTTTCATGTGTATGCCAGATATTTTATGACACACATATTTCTTTTTTTATATTTCTCTGCCATCCCCTTCCACCAATATCACCAATTTTGTTCTCTCTAGTGATTCCTCTTAAATCCTTAAGTGGTACCATGACGCTGTTACTTGAATCATTCTTCACTAGGTTCCTGTGACATAAAAAAGGCTAAATTAAATGTCAGAAATGACACTCTATTTTCTTTGATAAATTGTAGAAATAAACAGTATTGTATTTTTTTCTTCCTAGGGTCAAAAGAATGGACAATAAATTTGAAGCAATGTTCCTCTTAAATTTGTCATATTTGTGACCATTATTTTGAAATATTTCTAAAATTATTTTGATCTTTAAACTTTTTTCCTCCATGTTCTTATAACATAAAAATTGAAATAATTGTACATTTTAGTCCTTTTGATAGTTAACCTTTTTTCTGATTTATATGCTATGATACAAAAATTGAAATTATATCATTGTTGTCATAGAATTTTAAAATTTGAAATAGAAATGGAATAAATGTGAATAACTGTTTTAAGTTCCTCCTGTTCTTTGTGTGATGTTCTGTTAAACTGTAATTTCATATTATCCAAATTAAGGAAACGCTTTTCAGCCTTTCTTCATTGCCATTACGGAAGTGATTCTAAATCTTCAAAGCACAACTGAATTGTGGGCATAATGAGAAAGGTCTCCTGCAGGGGGACTATGGCCTTCCCTCCTGACCCCTCTGTAGCTGGTCTTTGGCACTTAAGACAAACAGTTTAATTAATTAGAAAGGACTTTAGTTGGGCTTCTCTAGTGGCTCAGACAGTAAAGAATCTGCCTGCAATGTGGGAGACCAGGGTTTGATCTCTGGGTCAGGAAGATTCCCTGGAGAGGGGAATGGCTACCCACTCCAGTATTCTTGGCTGGAGAATTCTACGAACAGAAGAGCCTAATGGGCTACAGTCCATGAGGTCACAAAGAGTTGGAAACAACTCAGCAACTAACACTTTTAGTAGAGGCACTGTAGACCAAATTTTCATTGACTATCCAAGATCCACATGCTCCTGACAGCTCAGCCATTTCCAAGAGGCATACTCCATCAGCTATCGATCGACTCTAAATGTAGAGGTCTTTCTTGTCTTGGCTGGAGACCTGCTTTTCATAATCTCTATGTCTTGGTCTTGCATCTGTAGCCCTTGAGAGCACAGTTCAGTGGTTCTCAAATGTGGTTCCAAGATCTGCAATATCAGCTGGGAATGTGTAATAACTGGAGAGTCTGGTGTTGGGTCCCACATTCTGTTTTAGGAAGCCCTCCTCCAGGTGATCCTGCTGCACACTAAAGTTTGAGATGCACTGGTGTAGCATAGCCGAGAATGGATGCAACCTAGGAATGAAAAATACCTGGATTCAGCTCCTGGCCCTCTGTCAATTTAGGCAATAGACTCCGTTTCCTCCCTAATCAGATGAAGCTAATGGTCAAGGCTAATCCCCAGACCTGCAGAGAGAATTCAGTGATACTCATGAATCAAGCACATAGCAGAGAACCTAACACACACTAAGCACTCAAATTATTTTTTTAAAAAGTTTTTTTTGTATTTATATTTTTTAATTGGAGGATAATTGCTTTAGAAAATTGGGTTGGTTTCTGCTGTAGACAACCCCTGGCCACAAGCCATATTTCATGCCTTTGAATGTAAGTCTCTAAAAAGTCCATTCTTTTGAGAATGGAGAAGTACAGAAAATTTTCGACCTAACACCATAGACATAACAATGCTAAATACCTTCATTCTACAAATGAAAACTTACCATTCAGAGAGGCTAAGTGACATGTTCAAAGACACACAGCTCAATTGCTGGTGTATGGAAGCCTTTAGGGTGCTTCCCAGTGGAGCTCTTAAATCAACACATATTTATCTGTCACAATGCAGTAATAAGGTATCTAGCCCTGGACTGGACTTCAATTTTATCAGTATATTATCTGAATTAATTTTAATATTATTTGAGCATTCCCAGCTAGTACTGGGCACCATGGCTACTTATTTGTCTACTTACATTTTGTTTTCCTATTTAGATCCTATTCTGTTCTAAAAGGATTTAAGATGACTTGGGCATTTTTAAGACTGGTGTAAGTACAATTGGACTTCCCAGGTGGCTCAGTGGTAAAGAATCTGCCTGCCAAGCAGGAGACACAGGTTCGATCCCTGGGTCAAGAAGATCCCCTGGAGGAGGAAATGGCAACCCACTTAAGGATTCTTGCCTGGGAAATCCTATGGACAGAGGAGCCTGGCGGCTACAGTCTATGGGGTCACAAAGAGTAGGGCATGACTTAGCAACTAAATAACAACAATTTGGGCATTTTATCAACAGTTGGAGTTCCAGCCCCTATAGCACTAACTGTTGGATCAGTAAATCCAATAGTCACTTCCTGGAACTTGTGCAAGTGGCTATCAGCAAAATGTGCCCAATTCTGAGGATCCCAAATGGATACATAAGAGAAGTAGGCCAACAGCAAGTGCTTTAGGTTAACTGGAATCCCTTGTATAAACTGTTAATCAGAAACAAAGTAATGTGTCCGGTTATTTCTAGCTCTTGCATGTACAAAGTACTGGGTTTTTTGCTATGCCTTTGCCTGGGGAAACTAAATGGTTAATGCTCATCATCACATGCCCACTCCCAAAAGTTTGCTTTACAGAGTACAAAGAATAAGGCACTTTTACTTTAAACAGCCTGTTCTCAGTTTTGTGGGGCTGTTGATATTACTGGACTAGTGGCAGGCGCCAAGGCGGGAAAATAGGCTGGGTTACTTATAACTCTGAATGTGGACACATCAGCTTGTGGGAAGGAAACTATTTAAAATGGGGCTTGGGGAAAGCCAAAAAAAAAAATCCCCTTTCCCCATATGAGATTCTTCCACAATGTTGTCATGCAATCTTGAAAACCTCCATACAGGAGATCACTCTCATTGGATATATGCAAATTTTCTGAGATCTAGTGGTTTCCTGCCAGGGAAAAACTTACAATAACAGAGCAAGAATGCAATCTGAGCCCTTGCTCTCTGAAACCCTGAAAGAACAGAGTCGTTCTTGACAGGGCAATTTCAACCCTTGACATTCCAGGAAATAGCTTAATAATGTCATTTAGGCTGGGGTTGTAACCAATCCTAAGACACAGAGACACAAATGCAGTATGTAAAATTTTAAATATCAGTTCAGGGACCATTATTCATGTTCACACAGAGTTTAACAGAGAAGACCACCACCACAAAGCCAAAACTAAGCAAGGCTTCCTAATTAAATTTAACATTGTCCCCACTAATTTCACTCAGTATAGGAAAGGTTTCTGCCAAGAAATTACAGACACATCCTAGACTGTTTACTTTCCTAGGTCCTGGGCCCATGCCAAACCGAGAATGTAACACCCAAACAAAACCGTATTTCCATCATTAACATATATGCAGAAGTCACCCCCATCCTGGAATCTCAGAGGCCTTAATGAGACATACTGGCCTTTACAGTCAATGTGTTCCATTTTTTTCTGGGTACAGTACAGCTGAAAAGGTTACAAGATTCAGGTTAAAAGTCAGGAAATGGATCAGGGCCCCACACCATGACATCATTTTCTTGCAATGCAATGAAGCAATGACATTTCCTGCAGGGAAAATGATTAGAGCTGACAAGCAGCCTTTTAGCTACAATGCTTGCAGTGGAAGGTGTCAGGCTTGCCCCACGCCAGCTCCTGCCACCCTGCCTCCTGTTCCTTGGCTAGGGCTTCCCAGAGATCAGTGAAAGAGAGAGAGATCCTGGCTACTTCTATTTAGTGACAGTTCTGATATATTTACGATAAAGATGTGCTAAAACATAGCTACAAAACTTGAATTTTTTAGTTGTGACAGCATTTGATACTTTAGGCAAAAAGAATATAATTTTGCCACTTGCAAAATGATTTACAGATTTGTTTTAAAACTGGCGTATAGGCAAGAGCCACCAAGGGTGACTGTGCAAGTTGGCCAGAGGCAGAGCGGGACTCAAATCTGGCTCACTCTCTTGACTATCAAACCATGGTTGCTGGTGAGGGGCTTGGATCTCCCTTTTTTGGATTCACGCAAGCATCTCACAACCAGCGATAGATGTTCTGGTAGTGAACAGGACACAGTGTGAAAGAGAGTGATAAGCCAGTCTTTTGCTTTCAATCTTCAAATTCACACTTCGAGAGACAGCCTTGAAGATGTTATATCTACAGTTACAGAAACACCCATAACATCTTCAAAGATATCTCTAGAAGTATGCATTGGAAGACCTGCCTAATTGTGAGCTCTGGGCCACATCCCCCTCCTGACTGGGTCACCCAAGCACACTGGGAGTCCTTTAGGGATTTTGAACAGGTGCTTCCAATAAGTCAACACGTGCAGTGTGCGGCACCGTGCTTGCCGAGTAGGAGCTCTGAGCTCGAGTTCAGCCTGGCCAGGTGCTCTTGTGTGCAAATTGCATAACTGTAGTGGCCTGACTGTTCCCCACATGGCAGACCCTGCTCTGGGCTCCACATGCAGACAGACCTGCTTAGAGACATGATCGAGACAAGAAGAGCTCAGGCCAGTTCCCTGGGACTCCACATCAAATTGCCCTTGCTTCTCCACATGTGGCCTTGTGATTTTTTGGTTCAATAACTGAGTTTCTGCCTTGGACATGGGTTCCGGGGGCTAAGTGCCTGGTGAGTACTGCCTGGGAACAAGTGAACAAGTGCTTATTCCCCTGACTGATGATAACCATGTCCCTCTAGAAACCATAGGTCTACCCCATATACAGTGAAATGAAGGGTCTAGCCTTATTGTCTTCTGTCATTTTTCTTTTCTTTGTCTCCCTTCTCGGATCCTTCTGGGGAGGTAGTGAAATCTGCCAAGCAAAGACTGCAGATGTGACAGAAAAAAAAAAAACCCAAAAAACCCAGATTCCTGATGCTTCTTTTGTCCATTTCAGCACAGATTAATAACACTAACTCACTTGCATGTCAGTGGAGGAGAGTGAGCAGGCAAGTTTCTATTACCAAAATAGCAAACACTTCTGATTTCAGAAATGAAAAGTCCTAGAAGTAGGATGAAGTTACACATTAGAAACAATGTTTCTAGATATTATGTAGGTTTGCCAAACAGATTTAAGCTCTCTACTGCAGCTGAGTGGATAGACGTCAGAGATGCTTTGAGACACAGTTTACACAGTATTCACATCTATAAATCATTACATAGTAACTGGATGGACCTTGTAGTGACAAATGTGTTACCTCTGGAAAAATTTGCAAATATCTGAAGGGCTTATAAGGGGTTTCCCAGTAGGCAGGGTGGTTAAGAATCTGCCTGCCAGTGCAGGAGATGCAGGAGATGAGAGTTCAATCCCTGGGTCAGTAAGATCCTCTGAAGGAGGAAATGACAACCCACTCCAATATTCTTGCCTGGGAAATCCCAT